TTTTTTTTGGTACCAGGGATTGAACTCAGGACCTTGTGCTCGTGAGGCAGGCGCAGTGCCACTGAGCTAAATCCCTGACCCTGCATTTTAGTATTTTTATAAAATAAGTAAAAACATTTCTGAAGACATGAACATTATAAAATATTCAGGGTACGTTTTGTTCAAAATTTCCTCTCATTTGAGGAGCATAAATGGTGGAATATTATACCTCACGCACCTTCTGTACCTTGGTTATTTCACTAAATATTGTATTTTATAGGTTGTTCTGTATGGTACAGGGCCAAGTGGATAAAAATTACAAAGTTAGTTCCTATTTCTAAGCTAAAAATAGCAGTTTAAATAAGCACTTACCTGTTCTAAGACTATATCCTATTTCATCAGAAGATGTCTCAAGGCAGAGATTAAATTCATTGGACTTTGAAGGCACACATGTCTCATAAATAAAAAATTGCCTGTTTTCCATTTATGCAGATCTGGTCACTTTTTGGTCCTGACAAGTTTCGCTGTGGGCAATGTGCTTTTTCAGCATTTCTCTAAATGAACTCTCGTATATTTAAATGGCAGATGTTAAAACAACACAATGTGTGTGACTAACCTTTGTGTTTCTTTGTTGATAACAAACCTGTTCATGGTAACAACTAGGATTGAAGAGGCTTCTCTTGCCTTTAAACCATAATTGTGGCCTGGTAAATGTTTTCTGAGCACCTTATTATGTTAGAATAAAAACAGTGGCTAGCTTGGTAAAACGTTTTAACCATACCTTTATTTTTTAGAATATGTCTCATGTTTTCAGTCTCTTTGGACCTATAATAGGCTTGGCAGCCCAGTGCCCTGGGATAACAGGGAAAGGAGTAGAAAGACATTGAACCTAACAGCATGGGGAGGGTCAAGTTCTGCATGCGTACGACTCTGCTGGCTAGTAGGTAGCACTGTATATGTCTGTGTTTGAGGCACATGTATGCAAAACAAATACTAACATGATACATATATATGAATATTCATGTATGCTAAGTGCCGTGAAATAGAGGAGAAGAGACAAGATTCAGCATGGAAATTATACGAAAGAACAAGACCCTAAAGTAGTTGAAACATGATGTGATTCTGTTTCTCAGGCAAAACTGAATTGCAGAATATTCTGGGGCTGAGCTTCACCTATTCTTTTGAAATAGACTCACAGGAAGTTGTGGAAATACTACGGAAAGAGGTTTCCTGGACCCTTCTCCCAGCTTTCTCTGTCAGTAACATCTTGTATACACACAGTAAAATATCAAAAATAGCAATCGAGGGCCAGGGAGTTAGCTCAGGGGTTCCTCCACCTGCCTTGCAAGCACAAGAACCTGAGTCCAATCCCTGGTACCAAAAAAAAGCAAATCAACAGTTGGACAATCGACAGACCTTTTTTCAGATGTCAGCAACCTTACATGCACAGTGTGATCAGTGAACTCACCAGGCAGGGAAGAGGAGACACCACAGAGAAGTCACTTCGATGAATGGCCCTCTTTCTTCTTTACAGTCTCTTAGCTGCTCCACACAATCCTGTGTTAAGTCACACGCTGCTTTGCTCACCAGGGATTAACTTGTTACTTCCTGTCACAAATGTTACCCATCCTTTCTCGCTCCCTTATTTCAGGGCTCTAAATAGAAGCAGTCTTACTCCTGTAAGTAATTTTTTCCCGTTAGCTCGTTTGTAGGACAAGTTGTTTGGAACCCATGGAAAGAGCGGTACTTGGGTTTTGGGTTCCCTGGTATATCTGCAGACCTGCACAGCTCATAAAGGTAACCAGTTTCTGTACATAGCAGTATTTGTGCCTTTTGGCCTCGGTGATAGTGGTGGAGCCGGCAATGAAACAGGGCTTTTGGAAATTAAGGATGGCTGGAGGACTCTGAAGTATCAGGCAGTTGTCTACTTGAAGAGATAACACTCTGTTTTTTTTTTGGTGTTTTGAGATTGACCTGGAACTCACTGTGTAGCCCAGGCTGGTCTTGATCTTGCAGCGATCCTCCTGCCTCAGCTTCCTGAGTGCTGGGATGACAGGTGTGCACCACCACGCCTGGCTCTGATAACACTCTTAATGAATATCATTTTTCATTTTTTGAGTCAGGGTGTTGCTTTGTAGCTCAGGCTGGCCGTGAACTCACTATGTAGCCACGCTGGCCTCCAATTTGTGGTGATTCTCCTGCCTCAGCCTTCGGAGTACAGGTGTGTGTCACCATGCCTGGATCTTATAAGATACCATTCTGTGGCTAAAAGAAAATCCCTCTATTAATACTGTACTACCTGCTGTTGGTGGTGCACACTTGTGATACCAGCACCCAGGAGGCTGAGGCAGGAAGATCACTGTGAGTTTGAAGACAGCCTGGCCGACTTAGTGAGACCTTCTCTCAAAAAACAACAACAACAACAAAAAAAACCCAAAATGGTACAGTACTTTCCTCATCTAGGTATACATCTTATACATCTGGTAAGGGATGTCAGGCCCCACTCAGCTCTCCTAGATCTGGAATCAAACCTGGTTTATCAAGGGCTTATCTTTAACAGGCGGAGGGAGGAGATATCACTGAATAATATCTCCCTGAAATACTTGTTTTCCTGGGTGGTTCTGATCATGAATTTGGCCTCACGATCGTGATAATAGATTATTTTCTAGTTTCACCGAGAGCCCTGAGCAGCGGTTTCTGGGTTTCCTGGGTCCTGTCTTAGGTGGGATTTGAACCTATAAATGCTTCTCCCATGCCCACATAAGAATGTTGATCTTCTGATCTCTGCTAAACTCCATGATGAGTTGTGCTGTTTGCAGTAAAAAATTTCCTCCTTTTGTTGTTTTTCATTTCCACAGTGCTATTTCAATTCTGTAGCACACTTTAGGGCAATATGATCCTAGTACATGTTTCTCCCTGTAGATATGATCATGCTAGACTAAGCTCAGTGATGCCATGAAAAGCTAAAATGCTTCAGCTTGCTTATTCTTCATGCTGTTTTATTTTAAAGGAGAACTCATAAGCCCAATAAAATACACATGTGTAGCAAGTTGTATTTATCTTTTAATAACTTTTAAAAGAAGAAATGATTTTGAGCAAGGCATCTACTTTATTAAGAATAAAGACCGCCTGGGGCTGTAGCTAAGTAGCAGAGCACATGCTTAGCTGCCCACCCCATAGAGGCTAGGAAGCAAAGAGAGACAGGAAGGGGCAAGGGTCCTAAAATCCCCTTCAAGGCCACTCCCCCAGTGACCTAACTTCCGCCTGCTCATCCCGCTCCTAATAGGTTTCAAGGGCACCCGGTGGCTCGTGACCAAGCCTTCAACCCGGGACCTTTTGGAACATTTAAGGACCACACTAAAGCATGTTACTCGTTCTTCATGTATCACGGTCTGCAACAGCAGTGAACACATTTCTTAATCAGTGTTGTGTGCTTGGTTAAATGCCTACAGTCCCAACAGAATTATACTAAACCTCATGACTAAGAAGTACCAGGCTCTTCAATGTAATACACAAGCCATAAAACAAACATCATACCCCTGGCTCTGAACTTTGGCCTCGAAGAGTATGGAAAATTAGTGAATTACACGTTTTCTAAATCAGGGAAAGTATACTATGGAAACTTCAGCTACTATATTCCTATGAGTCATTCTAAGAAGTGTATAATATTTACTTTAAATTAGGTTTTAGAGCTCTAAAAAGATGCCTGCCTTGTAAGTGCAAGGTCCCGAGTTTGATCCCTGGCACCAAAATAAAATAAAATAAAATGAAGAAGAGTATCACATTGTAGAAATTGGAAGAACTAAAAAGAAGGAAACATTAAGTTTCTTTACAAAGGGTTTAACATAGGTGTACTCATTAAATGTACACAATTTCAAGTGTCTTTGTTTTACTTTGCATAACCCTCATTGTTAGCAGTGTGTGTTTGTGTGTGTGTGTGTGTGTGTGTGTGTGTGTGTGTGTGTGTGTGGTAGCATAGACTGTACCTCAGTCCTCACAGTGAGCTACATCCTTAATCTTTAAACAATTTTTTTTTTTAATTGAGACAGGCTGACACTAAGTTGTCCATGCTGGCCTTAAACTTGCAATTCTCCTGTCTCAGCCTCCAGAGTGGCAGAGATGGCATGAGTGTACCTCTACGTCTGGACATTAAAAAAAAATTGCTTGGCCATTTTAAGCATTTTTAACAGTTACATATTTTATATTTAATCATTTACTTAATTATTTCCTCAGTATTAGACTAAAGTTAACTTATTTTTATATAAATTTGACATAAATATCCTATTATGTAAACTTGCGTTATCATTATCATTATTATTATTTTGGCAAGCACTAAATGTGATCTTCCTGGCTCACGGGCTATGAAGTCCTTTGACACCTTTTTGTCCTTGCATCAGTAAGATAGTATCCATTCTCCTAGAGCCCAAGATGGCTAAACACATTTTATGATTAAATTACAGCAATTCCCAACTTAGTATCTGCATATAATGGCCTGGTCTCAGAAGCGTTCAGGTCACTACCTTGGGAAATGTTCCAGAGATGGCAGGATGTCTTCACCATCCAGCGGACCCCATGCAGTTCCCAGGAGCTGTGATCCAAAAGCTGTGTTTGTGCTGTGAAAGTGTGCAAATTCTGCTGTACTGAAAAGAAAAAAGAAAAAATTCTGCTGTAGGCATCGCTGTACTGACATTTGGTTTGTCCAGAGTTTGTGAACAGTGTCATGGAAGTAAAATTCTACAGAATTGAACAAAAGCAAAACAATGGGTTTGCTTTTTTTTGGGGTACCGGGGATCAAACTTGGGACCTTGCACTTGCAAGGCAGGCAGCAGCACCACTCACTTGTAAATGGAAGGAGAAATTTTTTTGGATAGGAACTTGGCACAATGGAAGCACCATGGGCCTTGGAGTCAGACATGTCTTTGGAATTCTAGTTCTGCCACCTTATGCCACCTGTGACCATTATAGAATAATTGACTCAGTTATCTAATAAAATGATAATAAATAATGTGTTAAATCAAAACAAAGCTGTTAGAGAAATGTCCAGCATCTAGTGGATGCCCAGTAAGTGTTAATTTCTCTACTCTATTATTCCTGACACACATTAATACTGGAAAGGCTCTTTTGGGATGAGGACATTTAAAATGTTTAAATTTTAAATATATAAAATATAGAGGGATGGGAGTATAGATCAGTGACAGACACATGCTAAGCACACACAAGGTCCTGGGTTCAATATAGAACCCAACATATTAAAATAAATAAAATTTCGAATGTTGTAAGATTTCCATTTTAGTTCAGTGGACTCAATAAAGACTTGGCAATTTCTTATGATATTTCAAAAATTAAAAAGTTAGATAGAAAAAGAAAAGAGACAGTGCCAGGTGAGTGAGGCAGGTGTGACATGACTGTTTTCTTACCTGAAATGGAAGAGCACAACTCCTCAAGCTTCCAAGGTCTGTGTTCTGTGAACAACTGGAGCTCACCTTGTAGGGTGAACACACCGGATCTGGCAGAGTCATGGGCAAGTCAGTCTCCCTTTCAAGCAATGGGAAAAGCAGTCTCTCTTGCCTCCATGTGTAGTGGCTTCAGAAACATTGGATTTTTGTTTCTCCCAATTCTGAGGGTTTTCTGGGCAGTTCTGAGGATTTGCAGTTGTTCCACGTGGATTTTCTTCCAGGCCCATGGCCTCCACACTGCAACACAGAAGGAGGGGACTGAAGCTGCCTTTGGTGGCCCCTTGAGGGCCATGTCACTTGTGCCGTATTTTCTTGTCCACAAATTGAGCTCACATAAGGGAGTGGAGGAAAGGCCTTGCCTTGGCATGGAAGGGCGGACACAAAGTCCCATTGCACAGAGATGTGCTTACTGGAATAGGAGGGACTGCGGCTGCTTCCTGTTTTAAAGACTCTGGTGTCTGTCAACTCGCCTAGGACTTTATTAGAGGCACTCACCCAGTTTTAACTTCCTTCCTTTCTTCCTTGCAGGAATCGTCCAAAGTTGAATGTGAAGGGGCAGCTTTTGCTTTCAGAGAATCTGAGGTGGTTGCCAGTGTTTCTCATGGACACTTAGAAAGAACACACTTATAGCTAGGTGTGGAGGCACAGGTCTATGATCCCAGCACTCTGGGAGGCTGAGGCAGGAGGATCACATTTAGTGTGACCCTGTCTCAAAATAGAAAATTTTAAAAAAGTCTAGGGTTGTATCTCAGTGTGAAGGCCCTGGGTTTCCCAGTACCACAAAAGAACAAAAGAGAAGAAAGAAGAAGAAAACCAAAGCAAGTAGCATCTGCAGCTAACAGTGTGGGCTTGAGTGGCAGTCTTGCTTGATAAGCTGCCCAGTTAAATTTCAAGTAATTACAAGTAACTTCCTAGTGTTTCATCCCTTGTTAGTAGTTCAGTTTGGTACATATTCTTACAGAACTTTACTGTGAATAGTCCAATTTATATATATGGTTTTGTTTTGTTTTGTTTTTTGAGACAGGGCCTCACTATGTAGTTGAGACTGACCTGGAACTCACTTTGTAGCCCAGGCTGGTCTCGAACTCACAGCAATCCTCCTGCCTCAGCCTCCCGAGTGCTGGTATTAAAGGCATGTGCCACAACGCCTGGCTTTATATAAACTTTTAAAAATGGAATTGGGGGCTCCATGGTAGAATACTCACCTACCATGTATGAGGCCTTGAGTTCAGTCCCCACCACTGCAAACAAACAAAAAACCAAATAAATAAATTCATACTTTTGGAATATTAACTGATTTTTTTTTCTTTTTTCCACATCTGTACATTTCGATCTAATTTACTCCTTTTTTTTTTTTTTTTCTGGTACCTGGAATCAAACTTGGGTCTTTGCATTTGAGAGGCAGGTGGTAAAACCACTGAGCTAAATCCCCGACTAGTTTATTCCTTTTAAAATCTATTTCTTTCTTTATTTTTTAGCACTGAGGACTGAACCCAGGGCCTTTGCACCCATATTCTCATCCCTTTCTAATTCAGCCAGGACTACAGGTGAGCTCTTGTCTCAAAAAAAAAAAAAAAAAAAAAGAAATTGCTAACTTGCCCAGATGGGGCTTGAACTTTCAATCCGCCTACGTCAGCCACCCAGACTGCTGGGATTGTAGTTGTGCACTGCCAAGTCTGATGTAAATTGTCTTTTAAAACTGTACAGTGTAAAGCCGGGCGTGGTGGCACACACCTGTAATCCCAGCACTTGGGAGACTGAGGCAGGAGATTGCTGTGAGTTAGAGACCAGCTTGGGCTACGTAGTGAATTCCAGGTCAGTCTTAACTACATAGTGAGACCTTTTCTCAACAACAACAACAATGGAACTGTACAGTGTCTCATGGTTTAGTCATATCGTGGTTTATTTACTCACACATCCATTGTAAACTGAACTATTAATTTTTCTGCAGTACCAGGAGTGTTATGACAGATTCTTGCACACATATTGTGGTCTAGTTTTTTATAATGAGACCCTGCAACTAGAATTCTGATGGAAAAGGACAGGCCTTATATCTAGCTTGCTACAGTGCCTCTTCAAATGGTATCATTTTCAACTGCCACCCAAATTATTTGAAGGTTCCTATTTTTCCAACTGCTCACAGGTGATTTGTTTGTGTGTGCATGTGTGTGCTGCAAATAAAACCCAGGGCCTGACGCATGCTAAACTAAGCTAGTGTGCTCTACCACAGAGCTACATCCTTGATCCCATCATAACTATTTTAATCTTGCTTATGTGATGACTATTTGTTTTCATAGCAAATAAAAGAAAAATTGGAGCACACACTTACAGACGCACAGAGTGAGAGTCATTTAGCAAGCAAAAGACAGTATAAGAAAGTACACTGTGGCTGGGCTTGATGGTGCAGGCCTGTAGCCCCAGCACTCAGGAGGCTGAGGGAGGAGGATCACTGCAAGTTCAAGCCCAGCTGAAGTACAAATTGAGACCCTGTCTCAAAAAAAAAAAAAAAGAAAGTACACTGCTTCTTTTCAAAGGGGAATTTGATTTGTACCAGTTTAAGAGAATGAATGATGGAATTCAGTAAACACCTTAGGTCTAAGTAGGAACAAATGAAAACAAAAAGTGGGAATGGATTGGGAGAGCTGAATTTGGTCCCTCCTTGCCAAGACTTTTATCTGACTTCTTTAAGAATCTATACTTTTGCTGGGGATTTGGCTCAGTGATTCCACTGCCTGCCTTCCAAGCACAGGGCCTGGGTACGATCCCTGGTACCACACACACACACACACACAGAATCCATATTTTTACATTTTCTTTCCTGTGTAATGCTGTCTAAGCTTCATAGTTTCCACTACATCTTTGAAAATGTAATTGCATTTATTTTGTTTTCTTTATGCTTCTGAAAGGAAATTAATGACCGAAAATGAGAACCATGAACCAACGATATAATAAAATATGATGATTTGGGCAAGAGCTTTTCCATGGTGCCTTTCTTCTTGCTGGTGCAAAGCAATAGAGCAATTTATTTTTCATTCATTTATCTTGGGCTGTCTGGAAGGCTAGGAAGTATTATTGTGTAAGCCTCACAAGTACCCCCCATCCAAAGAAAGGGAAAAACCCTCAAATCCAAATCCAAATCCAACCTTGAAACAATTTTTTTTTGAAACAGGGACTCATTTTATAGATGACTCACTGTGTAGCCTAGGCTAGCCTTGAACTCAAGGTGATCCTCCTGCCTCAGCCCCCCGAGTGCTGGGATTATAGGCCTGCACCGCCACACCTGGCTAACCCTGAAATAGTTTTTACCTGGAGTAGAATGCATAAATTAGAAACCATTACTTAGTGGCCTCTGTTTTGGGGACTTATTAAAATCTTCACACATTAAAAAAAGAAAATTGTCACACCCATCTTTTTCAGTTGAAAAGTCAGCTGTTCTCTATTTTAAATCACTACTTTGACCTTAAACATGGAGCAATGGCTCATGATCATGTTAGACCAGAAGGCAAACCCTTCTGATGCTGACACTAGAAGGCTTGAAAACGTAAAAAGTCAGAGTAAAAAGAGAGGTCAGGCAAAGGAAAGGAAAACACAAGAGAAAAAAAGGGAGAGGAATAAAGGGAAGACAGAGGAAAAAATAAAAAGAAGAAAGAATAAAGCACCAAGTTGGTGACTGTTAACAGTGGTACCCTGGGTGCCATTGCAGTCTGATTGCTCACTGTGAACTTGTGCTTCTTGAAGATCAGGTGTCTTGTTCGTCTTTGTTCTGCCTAGTACAATGCCTGATAGCTTTGTTCAGAAAACTGTTGGCCTGATTCAGTGCACTTTAACTATTATGTGCTGAACGTTCTAAAATTTAAACTTCATACCTAACCCTGGCCATAGGTATATTTGTGGCCAGAAGATTTTTTTTCTTATTTTTTTCATTAGTATGTGTTATCTAATACATAAAAATGACATCACTTTGGGGAAACGGTACTTGTATATAATTGATGAGTCACTTTTCCTTCCTCTTCCGCTCTCCACTTTTCATCTCCTCTTTACCACCTCCACAAAGACATAAGGAAACAGGAAGGTAGGCTTTGTGGAGCCAGGAGACTGACGGACTTTCTTTCCTCCCTCTGTCTCTCTCGCCCCCTCCCTCCCTCCCTCCCCTCTCTCTCTCTCTCCCCTCTCTCTCTCTCTCTCTCTCTCTCTCTCTC